AGAGTGCTGTGGCATCATCATAGCACACAGCAACCTCAGTCTCTTGGATTCAAGCAATCCTTTTGCCTCAGCTTCCCAAGTACCTGGAACTACAGACGTGCACCACCATGCCCTACAGGGTTTTCTGTTTTTAGTTTAGATGGGGTCTCATTCTTGCTCTGTCTGATCTCAGACTCCTGATCATGAGCATTCCACACTCCTCAGCCTCCCAGAGTTTTAGGATTACAGTTGTGAGCCACCATGCCTGGCCATCATTTTAAATTTTAAAGGACTTTTAGAATCTGAGAAATAGAAGACAACTACTTTAAGGTTAGAAATTAGAAACTAAACCCCTCCCTGAATAAAAAGAAGTGAACCTAAAAGTCAGTGATAAGACATTAAAACACCCCCACTCCATATAATTTTAACTTAGGCCTCAATTGGCACACTGAGATGAGAGAGAGAGATGATAGAAGCAGATGAATGAGCAGACATCCAAGAACTCCTGGAGAGAATCCAGAATAATAAATAAATAGATAAATAAAGTATAATTGTAAAGTGAAATAGATATTTTTTAAATGTAAGACAATCTGCATTGGCATTTTAACACTACAAAAGTGCTTCTGAGTTGACTTAATTTGAGAAGTTTTTATCAGTCATATTCCTCTTCTTGGTAGCAGTCTTCTTGAAGTATTTTACTTTATATATTAAAAAAACCTATAGTAAGCACATTTTATTTATTTATTTATACTTTCTCCTTTTCAGACAAAACTAATCACCTTCCAAGCAAATCCATCTGCATGAAAGAACTCATGCAGCATATCTCAAAGTATGGTCTTGGGCCACCAGCATGTAAATCACCTGTGGTCTTATTAAAAATATACTCTTACAACCAAATTAAAATCTACAGACCCAAAATACTCATTTTAGAAAATTCTGCAGATGATTCCTGGGCATATTAAAGTTTGTGAAGCTGTGTACTAAAGCACTTCATTATTACCTACTATATAAGAATGTGTGTGCGTGTTCATGTTAATGAAAGTGGGAAAACGTAAATATTACAGATAAAAAGTAAAAAGTCAGAGTGAATTTGTCTGTTTCTAATTTTCACATCTCTATTTCATATATATGAATATATACGTATGTATATACATACATATTTATTTATTTTAAATTTCAATTGATTTAGGGAATACAAGTTGAATTCCATTACATGTACATATGTCTGGTGGTAAAGTTTGGGCTCTTAGTGTACCCATCACTCAAATGGTATACATTATATCCAAAAAGTAATTTTTCATCCCTCATCCCCAGTTTTAGATCTTCGGTGTCCATTACATCTCCTCTGATATTAGGTAAACTGGATATGATTTACGCTGTAAAGATAGGTTGGCTACATATGGTTGTTGGCTCATGGTTTGTTCATATTTGTTATAGAGAGAATCTCCTGCCTACAAAACAAAAGTAGTAGAAATCTATGTAACTGAGCATGGCTATTGATTGAATATACAGTACTGATGAAGAGATGAAAGAGGCAAGTGATATACTGGGATAATATAGAAGTGATATTTAACCAACAAATTTCTTATCCTACACATGTAAAAATTCCTCACTATCTATGTGGAAAATATATAAAATCGAACAGAAAATAAAAGCTTGAACAGACACTGCAAATTGAAGAATCTAAATGATCAATAAACATAAAGACAAGGGGGTATAATTTCAAGTTGGAAGAAAATTAGTATAAAATGTTGGTGGTCTGATATCCTTTAGAACAACTAGCTGATCTTCCTCTGGGTGACTGACTAATCATAGCTAGGGGGGAAAATGAGCCAAGGTCAATAGTTGATGAGTACCTTTCAAGTCTAAACAAAACCCCCAAACTCTAACTGCTCACTGTCAGTTTCCTCAGTCTAAGCTTGCGTTATGGATTCAGTCCTAGATCTCTGTCCCTTGAGTTAACATTTAGAAGATTATCCATGAAGTAAGATGTTATTATTCTTCAAATAACTCTACCCATAGGAATCCCCAGAGGTTTCCTGGGCTTCATAAGACAGTGGTTACAAGCAGAAAGGGGAGTGTGAAGAATACTTCCCTACTTCTAATCTTTTTCTTACTATTGGTAGAGCGTCATGTTGATTTTTAACAGGTAGGATATAATTCTACTCTTTCAAAAGATATGGCATAATTTTCATATGTCTTCTATCTGTTTGGATTCTGAAGGGAAGACCTTAGTAAGGGGTGTCCAACCTGTTTTCTTTTCTGTGGAACATTGGAAGAATAAGGATTGTCTTGGGCCACAGAGTAAATACACAAACACTAATGAAAGCTAACTAGCAAAAAAAAAAAAAAATGAAAAAAAGAAAGAAAGAAAGAAAGAAAAAGAAAAATAGGTCTGTGTGTACTTTTCATGATATCTAGGACCAAAGATAATCTCAAAAACGTCCTCACAAAATCAGAATGCAACCCTGGATCACTAGATATTAAATTAACAAAAGTGAGCCAGGAGATGCAAATGAAGACTGAGAATAATGCAGAACTTTCAAGGAGAAACAGAATATAGATGCTGATGGGAGTGTGTGTCTGAGTAAGTCTTAGGAATGCCCAGGCAGAAGTGCCCAGCCTAGATGGTATGTGTGAGAAGGATGTATATCTCAACCATCAAATGATTCTCCTTTATTTCTGCTGGTAGGTAGATATATGTCCTTGGACAGTGACTGCACTTCTCTAATACTTTATTTTCTTAACTATAAAATAGATAAAGCAATAACATCAATGAGAAAAATCTATATAAATCATCTAGCAGAATATCATATTACCATCAAAAGGTTACAATATTATAACATTAATATAAGTTTATGAGCATTTATTTTATATATTTGAATTAAATATCAATAGTGACAACCTCTAAGAAATAATGCCATCTTTAAGACAACTGTTAAGACAAATGACCAAACACAGATTACTACAGTCTATTTACATAAGATTATTTTAGCCAGAGCCAGAACAGTTGTGTGGCTCAGATAGTTTCAGAAGAAACTTATAAACACATATAATGTATTTTATGTCATTCTCTGCAGTTTAATCTTTCTCATAAGTTACAAATATTTGTCTTTATCAAACTATAGGTTCCCAGGAAAACCAGGTCCTTATACGGTACTCTGCACATCCACCCACTTAGGTGTTGTGAAAAAGAGAAAAATCTAGCAACAAAACAATACAGAAAAACAAAGAGATTATACTTTCCTAGAGGCCAAGGTTCTCTCACACTCCCAGTGTTCTTGGAAAAGAGTAAATTTTGACAGGTAATTTAAAATGAAGATGATTGTATGGCTGACTAAAAGAGAGTTAATAATTCTTAGATCATTAAAAAAATGGAAAATAAAAGACTTTGCAAGCGATAGCCACTCTCTCTAACAGTCAAAGAACTTTTTTTATTTCTTTTTTCTTTCTTTCTTTTTTTTTTTTTTAGAGACAGAGTCTCACTTTATCACCCTCAGTAGAGTTCTGTGGCATCACAGCTCACAGCAACCTCCAACTCTTGGGCTTAGGAGATTCTCCTGCCTCAGCCACCCGAGTAGCTGGGACTACAGGCGCTCGCCACAATGCCCAGCTAATTTTTGTTGCAGTTTGTCCAGGGCCAAATTCTTAGCCACCATCTTCGGTATATGGGGCTGGCACCTACCCACTGAGCCACTTGAGTCACTGCCTTCAAAGAACTTTTTTGACATGCTAAAAAGGGTTAATATTTTTTGCTGTTTGAGAAGCACAGGAATAAGAACTCTAAAACAAAACAAGCAAAAATCACATACATGTTATAAGATGGAATAGGAAGTGTGGAAAATAATATTCAATTACATAAAGAATTATGGGGCTACAACTAAATTACACTAACTGTGCTAGCTACTGGACATGCAGTAGTGAACAGTGTGAACATAATTCCCTACCTCTATATGCTAACTGTGAGAGAAGGCAGACATTAATCTAATAATAACAAGGAAAATAATAAAGAAGTGATTTTGTGTAAATGGGACTAGATTATGTACTTGCAGAGAAAAGAATGTGGGATATTTTATAAATGTATCAACTTAATTCAAAGAATAAAAATAATATGAGTACTCAATGAGAAGTAAAAAGCTGTAGGAAGTAGTTACGTAGTTAATCTGAAATAAATTAGGATGGGTAAGCCTCCTATTCAGCATGATTCAGAGTGGCTTTTATATAGGCAAGAGCGAACGGAAGGAGGATGAGACCATACTTTTATATGGTCCTTTTTAACTCTGACTGTATAACTACAAACTTCTAGTTCAGCCATTGTTTCAAATGTTCATCCTATAGAGATATATAAGTCTGAGTATAGGTGTGGAAGAATTTATGAATTTCCCCCAATCTATAATAAATGTTGCCTTTCCCACCAAGATTTTGTTTTCCTTCATCAAGAAGTTTATATAAAACTGAAATAAGAAAGCCATGAAATTGGAGACATGGTTTAAAAGATTGGTAGCTAAGTATTTTCATGTGGTGAAAAAATTATCTGGAATTGTTAAATATGAAAAGCCAAAATTGTTTGATACTTTAACAAAGTGAAACAAACACCTGGATGATAAAGTGAGTTATATTTTTCTCATTTGTTTCTGTGTTTGGTTGGTTTTTTTCTTTTCTTTTTTTACAGTCTGAGCTAACAGTACAAATATGGACCTTGGGCTTAAGAAGTATCTCCTAGCCCTCTTAGTATCTATGATGTACACTGTACCAGAAAAGAATATCTTCTGCTCTAGCTTCATTTAAGAAATTTCCTACCGTATTGAGGTAACATCCAGCTAAGTATCTTTCCAAGTGTCATGTCTCCTCTTGTCTCCACAAAAATTGAAGTTCTCAGATTCCTTCTAATTGGGATCCCTGGACTAGAAAAGAGTCACATCTGGATATCCCTTCCTTTCACAGCTGTGTACCTTCTTTCTTTCCTGGGTAATTGTACCATCCTCTTCTTTATCAAGACAGAACAAAGCCTCCACAAGCCCATGTACTATTTCCTTTCCATGCTCTCCATCTCTGACCTAGGCTTATCCCTTTCTTCTTTACCCACCACTTTGGGACTATTCCTATTTGATATCCATGAAATTTATGCAACTGCATGTTTTGCCCAGGAGTTTTTTATCCATCTGTTCACAGTCACTGAAGCCTCTGTGCTGTCTGTCATGGCATTTGACCGATATGTGGCAATCCACAACCCTTTAAGATACAGCACAATCTTAACCAGCTTGAGAGTCATCAAAACAGGGATCTTTCTGACTTCCAAAAATGTTCTTTTGATCCTTCCACTGCCCTTCCTCTTGCAACGGCTGAGATACTGTCACCAAAACCTGCTCTCGCACTCCTACTGTCTCCACCAGGATGTCATGAAGCTTGCATGCTCTGACAACAGAGTCAATGTCGTGTATGGGCTCTGTGCTGCACTTTCTACCATGCTGGATTTGGTGTTTATCGCATTCTCCTACATCATGATTTTAAAGACTGTGCTGGGAATTGCAACCCCCAGAGAGCAGTTCAAGGCCCTCAACACCTGCATCTCTCACATCTGTGCTGTGCTCATCTTCTACATGCCCATGCTGAGTGCAGCAATGCTCCACCGTTTTTCCAGGAATGTGCCTCCTATGATCCATGTGCTTATGGCTGATATTTTCCTTCTGGTGCCACCACTGATGAATCCCATTGTGTACTGTGTAAAGACTCGTCAAATCCGGGAAAAGGTCATGGGCAAATTTTGTCCAAAAAGAAGCTGATCAAAGAAATGAGAAAGGGACTGAATGTATCAGTAGAACAGCTCTTTGGTTTGCTAATCAGAGAGTGTTCATAAAATGAAGCCTTTGATATTCAGCATCCTAAGTATCCTTAATACTGGCCAGGGATCACAAAAACTTCAGTTCTATAATCCTTAGAATGTCTATGTAAAAATTTGAGCCTTGCGATAAGACTAGAAGCTTTGGCTTCCTGATTTTTAGAATGCATGACAGTAAATAATATGAAAAAGTACTATATTTATGTCTATCTAAAAAAAAAGTTTCCTTATTTTCCTTCACTTCCCTAGTAAATAAAAGCCTATTAAGAGAACGAATAAATTGTTTCTTCAGTTTTTCTCAAGGTTCAGGATGATGCATCCTACACAGACTTAATGATTTTAAAGTATGTATATCAATGGCAAATCTGGATACAAATCAAACTATAAATGGTAAGTATTATTATTCTGGAATTATATGAGTCATTATTACCAATTCTGTAATTTTAAAAACCCTATAGGACCATATCTCCATTGTTTATTTGAATGACCTTTGTATAAAACAAAACCAAAAATGTATTTTTTATGTGTACATTCTCATCCTTAGCTATTATTTTTTAAACTTTTCACCATATATATATATTTAACTCCCAATTTTTAAAATATATGACAGTAAATAATATGAAAAATAACCCTATATCAATGAAATAATTATAACCATGTCTCCAAAGAGCATCTTTTTTATAATTTGGAAGCATTAGTGAAGGTCTTACTATTTTCCTCAATCTCTTTTATCCAGGTAAGATTACATTTCTACTGTGAAGCCTTCCCTAACCTACTCTAGCATAAACATACATTTTCACCTTCCCTAAACATCAATCTTTCTAACTTTATCAATAATTTTACATGTCATATATATGGCCTCATAATCCTAGAAACATAGACATCATTTGTGTATATATAACATATTTCCTAGAATATCGTATATAATTATTTGGTGTTAGATTATGAATTCTAGGACACTGGTGATGGCCTGTCTTACTAACTGCTTCAAACCAGCTGCTAGAAAGTGAGTGGCCTACAGTAATCATACAAATATTCTTTGAGTAAATAAATACTGAACACTTAACAAACAATAGGAGAATATATAGAGAGTCAGAAAAGTTAACCAATGGACTTTCACAAAATTAATAAAAAATTTTTTGAACTTCACCACACTAATCAACACTCTCAATAAATGTCAATGTATTAAATTCACCACTGAAGAGGCACAGGCTAGCTTATAAGAGTAAAAAGCACAAACCATTCATATACAGCTTTCAGGAGACTTACACCTAGCATTGAAGGACAAATCAAGACTGAGGACTAAGAAATGGAAAACAAGCAAATGGAAATCAGCAGAAAAGAGGGGTTGAAATCTTATTTTCAGATACTAGTGGATTTAAGCAACTAAAGTTAAGAAAGACAAAGATAGACACTTTATACTGGTCAAAGGAACATTATAACAAGAAGATATTTCAATGTTAAATATTTATACCCAACTTAAAATGTTCCTAGTGCTAAGAAACAGTGCTTGATGGGTCTGAGTAATATGATATCCCATAACACCAAAATATTCAGGGACTTTATCACCCTCCACAGAACTGGACAGATCCTCTAAACAGAAACTAAACAAAGATACAAAAGACTTAAACGTGACCCTAAAACAAATGGGACTAATAGACAGAACAGAAGAAACCATCCCTTAGATAGAGAATATACATTTTTCCCATCAGCCCATAGAACATACTACAAAATAGATCACATCCTAGGATACAAATGGAACCTCAACAAAATTAAAAAATATAAATTATACTTTGTATCTTCTTAGACCAAAGACAATGAAAGTGGAACTCAACTCCAAGAAAAATGTTCAACCCCAAACAAAAACTTGGAAATTAAACAACCTAATGCTGAATTGTAGCTGGGTTCAGGAAGATAAAAGAGGAAATTATTAAATTCCTCAAACATAACAGAAGACACAAGTCTTCATAACACCAAAGACACAAATTATCAAAACCTGTGGGATATAGCAAAAGTACTCTTAAGAGTGAAACTTATTGCATTAGATGCCTACATTCAAAAAAACAGAGAACAACAACAAACTCATGAACCATTTTATGGAATTGGAAAAAGAAGAATAGTCTAATCCCAAACCCAGCAGAAGAAAAGAAATAAGCAAAATTAAATCAGAGAGCAATGAAATTGAAAACAAAAGAATTCAAAAAATTAACAAAACAAAAAGTTGGTTTTTAGGAAAATAAAGTAAAATAGATAAAACTTTGCCCAGATTAACGAGAAACAGAAAAGTAAAATCTCTAATGACCTCATCAGAAACAATAAAGGGGAAATAACAAAAGGTGCCACAGAGATTGAAGAGATCATCTCTGAGTAGTACAAGAAACTCTATGCCCAGAAATTTGACAATGTGGAGGGAATAGATCAGTACTTGAAATCACACCTTCTCCCTAGACTTAACCAAGAAGAAATAAACCTTTTGAACAGACCCCTTTCAAGAACTGAGATCAAAGAAAAAATAAAACTCCCCCCACCAAAAAATCCCCTGGTCCAGATGGTGTCACACCAGAATTCTATAAAAAGAAGAACTTAAACCCATACTGCAGAAATTATTCTAAAAAAAGTGAGAAAGAAGGAATCTTCCCCCAAGACTTTCTACAAAGTAAATATCACCCTGACAACAAAACCAGAAAAAGACCCAACTAAAAAGAACTTCGGACCAATTTCACTGGAGAATATAGATGCAAAAATTCTCAGAAAAATCTTAGCACAGAGATTACAGCTATACATTAAAAAAATTATTCATCACAGTCAAGTGGGTTTCATCCCAGAGATGCAAGGCTGGTTTAACATATGCAAGTTCATAGACATAATTCACCATATCAACAGAAGCAAAAAAAAAGACCATATGATCCTCTCAATAGATGTACAAAAGGCATTTGATAAAATTCAGCATCCTTAGCTTCTGCACAGCCAAGAACACAGTAAGTAAGGCAAGCAGACAGCCATCAGAATGGGAGAAGATTTTTGCAGGTTATGTCTCCGACAAAGGTTTAATAACCAGAATCCATAGAGAACTTAAACGTATTAGCAAGAAGAAGACAAGTGATCCCATCTCAGGATGGGCAAG